TTGATTGAAACTCTACTGAGGTGGTTTCCTGGACATGGTTCTGCCCTCAGCACTCTACTAATTCTCTTATCCACTCTCCTAGTTTCAAATGACCACCTCTTATAACGGAAAATCTTTGTATCTAGTATCTTAGTTGTTTTGGTATCTAGATGGGAGGGGGAAAGTATAGCCACATTACCTTGTACAATTCTTTCTGTATGAATTATCTACCTATCTGTCTTCTCATTAGATTCTTAGCTACCTGAAGGCAAAAACTGTTCTGTTCACCCTTATTTTTCTCAACTCCTAACATAGCCTGCCACCCACCGTAGACTTGCAACAAGTGCTGAGCAAATTACCCTTTATAACCTTTACTTCACAGAGGTCCAAGCAGTTTCTGTAGATGTTTCCAAATGTTTCTAAAAATATGTAAAACACTGTACAGAGTGTTCTAGATGTTCAGAGAAGGGAACTGTCATTTTGGGCTGGGTAAGACTTTGTGAAGGTAATTGAACTTAAGCCAGAAATAGTTTAAAGTCCAGAGGTGGGAACGGGGAGAGAAGAGTACTAGCACTTGACTCCCAGGCCCGAGACTGGCGGGCAGCAACTGGAGTGCCTTTGTTGAAACATCAAGTTTGGGTAAGGAAAGAGTAGTAGATCAACTTCAAATGCTGGGTAGGAAATACAAATGTGGAGGGTCTGAAGGCTAAGCTGAGGAGTTCTGACTTTATTCTACGGGCACGTAGGAGTCTCTACTTAACAGGGTGCTCAACGACCTTAAATAAACCTCGTGGCAGAAAGTCTGCTGGATTGTAGCCAGGATACATGGGAGGGGAGCAGACCAGTGGGACACTCTCATGAACAAAATGAGAGCCTGATGCAGGGTGGTAGCACTGAAAACTACCATATGGTCCTTGACAAATTTCATCAAATATATATTTGTGTGTATGCATGTATATGCATGTTTTAACACCTTTGAAACCGAAATACATCTTAGGGTTAATCGCATGTCTTAATGGCAGCATCTCTTCTTTCTTAAAAACATGTAAAATAATGGTGCATCTTAAAGTTGATAATTGTCCTAGACTCAATGAGTACGGTATCTGGATGTGAATAAGAAATCAAGGATTCAAAGGTAAAGTTTTAAACTTGGGTGACTGGAAGAACTCTTATTCCTAATAAAGAAGGAAGGGTGTTTGTTTCTTTGACCCCTGGATAGGAGTCTAACCAAATCTTCCATTTGAGAAACGACCCATGGACAATATTGCGGCTCACTGACTTTCCCCATCTGAACTAACTAATAATTAAAAATAAGAGGAAGTACTTATTAATGACAACTTTAATATGAACATGTGTTTGACCCTCAAGAAACATTCATAACTTAAAGGGAAGAGCGGGTTGCCACAGAGAGGAGTACATGATGCTTAGGGACGGGTGGCATGCAGTTTCTGGATCTGGCTGATGCTCAAATACATCAAGGCAACTGATAACCTTAGTCATTTGAACAATCGGTACTTCTTCAAATACTGGTTCACTTCTTCCTTGGGGTAGGGACGGAGCGCAATGCAGGTGGCAATATTCTCAGGCTGCTCCAGCCAAAGCACGTGGTCAATGTTCTTCTGCTGCAGAGTCTCAGCCAGCTCCTTTAGGGTGCTTTCATCTGCAGCCTACCAGGAGCAGAGCACAGGACACAGACTGAGTGGCCCATTTAGGAAGTGTCAGAAGGCAATGAATGAAAGTGTGGAGGGGGTTCCTCTTGACTCAAAGGGAAGGAACAGCTCTCTCAGTGAAGGAGCTGTAGAGCATGTCTCCAGGAGCATCAGCTTCACCGCCCCATTGGCCATGCACTCTCTGTAGGACCTTAGATAAGCGGCCTGGGGGTAGGAGAGGGAGAGGTGTAATCTGCCCATTTCTAAACAGAGATGATTTTTCTCTTTCCTCTTGAGATGCCGTATGCATTGTCCATAATTGTGCTCTCTACATTTTCTACTTCTCTTATGGCTGGTGCCCATGCAGCTACCCCAATCCTTCAGCCAGCTCCGACTTAATTAAGAGTTGAGTAGGAAACGATTTCTAACAACACATCACCTCCATCTCCGTCCTCCCCTCCCGCCCAATCCCACCCAAACCAGAAGGGTTTTCCTTCTGCTGGGAGAGTTCCTGCTTGTTGGCTAGGCGGGCTCGGCGGGCAAACCATTCTCTCACATCTTTCTCCCACTGTTTCTCCTCATCCTTAACACCATGCTGACTCCCATTAACGGAAGTATTAAAGCTAGCACTCAGAAAATAATGACAATTAGTGTGTTATTTGGCATAGATTTTTTTTTTTTTTGCGCCTAGAAAGGCAGAAGCCACTAAGATAACTAGAGATATGTCTCATCAAATTAGAGGTTGCTGAGATTGTCACTCTTTATCTAGAGCCCTCTGGGCACAACCATGCTGGAGAACTCATGGACTTCCCCTCCCCCCTTCTTCTGCACCAGAGGACAGTGAGTCCAAACTCTTGCTCTGCCCCTTACTGATTGTGTTGTGTGTGTGTGTGTGTGTGTGTGTGTGTGTGTGTGTTTTAAGTACACTCCACACCCAGTATGGAGCTCAACTCGGGGCCAAACTCACAACCCCAAGATCAAGACCTGAGCTGAGATCAAGAGTCAGACACTTAACCAAGTGAGCCACCCAGGGGCGCCAGTGATTGGACTGTGTGATCTTTGAGGAGTTAATGTGACTTAGCTGAGACTTTCTTTCCCCTTCGTAAAACAGGGATGATAATGCTTCCTAGCAGCAGTGACGATTCAATGAAATTAGGCTCAGACTAGTGGCTGGCATATAGTAAGCACCCAATAAGTGGAGTTAGCCCTGGCATGGTCTTATATTTTATTGGACTTTACGGCTACAGCACCACCTTAATTTAATCAGGAGTGACTCTTTGATCCCTTTCTTGAGTTATGGCTAACAGCTAGGAATCATCAGATGTCATTCAGACTTAGGAGTCTCACCTAATTTCTGTGGGCTTCCGATCTCTTATCTGAGAAAAGGGGTAAATAAATATATTATCTGCCTGAACATGAGGGAGGGGGATATATGAACCAGATATTTCTTGAGCCCTTCTTCCTATAAAAAGAGTATAAATAAAAAGCTATTTGCTTCTTTTCTGTCTACTCAGATTCTCAAGACATTTCCCCACAGGTTATTGCCTGATGTTTTACTACCCAACAGAAGTTTTTCTCTTGACAGAGAATCTGCTTGTGCCAGCCAGCCATAAAGGTATTACCCCACTCCAGGATTCTAGTTTAAAATAAATTTTATAGTGTAAAGTAAAATATATGCTTCATGTAGAAAACTAGAGAGAATAGAGAAGCATTAGAAACTAACCAAAATCCCACCACGTGCTTAATATTTGGATTTATTTCCTTAGTTTTTCTTTCCAAAATCTGAATCATTTTGTATACAGTTCAGTTAGCATCACATAATGAGCACTCTTCCAGGCCAACTAAATATGCTCCAAAACCATGATTTATGCTAGCTTTATAATAGCACATTTTATGGGCATAAAATGAACCAATCACTAGTGTTGGAAATTTGGTTATTTCCACATTTTGTACTATTATAAAGTGTTCCTATGAATATTCTCGTACTATACAATGCTCTTTGGTGCATCTGATTATCTTCCTAGAATAGATTTCCAGCAGAAGAACTGACAAAGGGAAAAGGTAAGGGTTAAGATCTGTTTGGCCATCTGCAAAAAGAACCTGACCTCTTATTTTACACCGGTGGTGTCTGGTATTTATGATGCTAGGTCCAACTTATATTAGGTACACATTTACTTTAAAATAATTAGGCGTCATATTCCGGTAATGCTTCAATTTCACTTCACTTGCAATAAGGAACCGCGTGTTCTTATCCCTTCCGAATCGGTTTTTCGGGGAGGGAGCGGGACAGTACCTTTGGGCGTTGCAATAAAAGGCCGGCCCAGTGCACAGGTTCCACCGGCCTCCACCCTCACAGGCACCTCCTAAGAAGGACGCGGGTGAGAGCGGACGGGTGCGGGAGGCATTAATAACTGGCCCGACGTCCGCTCTTCACACAGTCAGACCCCATCCAGCCAAGGGAAGGCTCCGGGAGCAATAGCGGAAGGCCCTGAAACCTTTCCAAGCTTAGATGTAAACGACTCCTCCCCACTACCGCCGTACCCACGCTACGAAGTTAAGTCTCGGCCTCAATACCACACCCACTTCCGGTCTCGATGGCCTCGGCACCCCTCCCCCTCCGCCGGATGCCTCACCTCGAGGACCACCTTGCGCATGCGCCCCAGATCTTGGAGGTAAGCGGCCGTGTGCGGGTGGTCGCGGTGAATGTGCAAGGCCGAGGTGGCTGCGTGACAGGCCTGCGCTACCAGTGCGCCTGCTGGCCAGGAGAATGGAGCCTGCGATAGATCCTTTCGTAACACCAAGTATTGGACTAAGATCTGCGGCTCTGCGCCAGAGGCCGCCATCTTCCAGGCCCACCGAAAGACCGCACCTACTTCCCGGTGCATGCCGGGATGAGGGAGGGGCCCTGAACGCAGCCATGTTTTTGTACGGCGGGGGCGCAAAGCACCCTGGGTCCGATTGGTTTGAGTTTTTTTTTGAAGCCTTGGACGGCGGGAACTCTCATTCTCGTCCTGGGTGAGCGAGAGGAGCGGAGGTAAGGGGAACATAAGGCCCGGTGACGGAGGGGCGGTGACCAGAGTGGAAGGCTGAACGGCCTCTTACAAAGCCGTGTTCTGGGGCGCGCGCAGGGGCAGGTAGACGGGGACACCGCCAGCCGGGACCGGGGAACGGGAGGGGCGGGTTAGGGAAGGGGAGCCCTGACGGTGACACTTGGAGTGTCCGGGGGCCGGCGGTGAGTGCCTGAGTTGTGCGCGTCTTGCCGTGAATAGGTGTGACTTTCTTGACTTTTTACTTTTACCAGCAAGGAAATCTGGGTCCCTATTACCGCTTTGCTGCCCAGCTTCATAGGAGGGCCTGTGGAAATCTGAGGAGATGGAGTGGGCGAATGACGGCAAGTCCAGAGGAGGTATTCACAGGGTCGCCTTTTCCCCCTTATTATTGCTGCCACGATGACGCCTTGTTAAACGAGCCCTTTCCTCCTCTGACGGATGTGTGACCTCGCCTGTCTGGGAGCATTGTGGTGAAAGGAACCAACTGCAGACGGAAAGAGACAGGCAGCTAAGATCATTCGTTGCACAAGGAAATTACTTCAGACATTTCTAGGCTCCGGCCCCCTTTTAAACCGATAGGTCGCGTTCATAATATGCCCAGTGTTTGTATTCAGAGCTACAGTTCTAGCCAGTGAGGTCTCTTTCCAGGATTTTTTGGGGTCACCTAGGCATTACACTTGTGGAAGGGTCGGTGCCAGGCAGTGACTTTGGCGTTGGTTAGAGCTAGGTTTGAGTCTTGGCTCTGCCACTGGAAATATCATGGCCTTAGGCAAGTTATTTTACCTTTCTCTGCCTTAATTTCTTCATCTGGAAAGTGGAGGCAAAGAATAGCCTTACAGTGGTGGTTGTGGAGATAAGTATTTAAGTCTCTTCAAGCACATGCTTTAATTCTTTACATGGTTTGCAAGTAAAGCATGTAGCACAAGTGTCTTAATAAGTAGGAAACGTTTAGCAAATGCTTTATTGTTAGACTTGATTGGCATTTTGAAACTGTGACCTTTCCTGTATTGGTCCTTAATCTCTTGGGAACTGAGATTTGCCTGTGAATTTCTGTCCAACCATGAACTTGTTTTCCTTTCTAATACCCAGTATTATTGGTAGGCAGTTCCTGCTAGTGTGTGTCTTTATAGTCCTGTGTGAATACTTGTCAGAGCTTCAGAGTACTTAATTTAAGTCTCTCTGGATGTCTAAATTAGTGCATTAGCACTTTGGGAAAACGTATAAAAGCTAATTTAAAAAATAATTCTACATTAAAAAAAAAAGTTTCTGAGAGAGTCTGAATTTGGGGACCCCGTTTTCCCCTGAGTCCTTATTATCATGGGTAACTGAGATGAGTTATATTCAGAAAATGCTCTCTTTGGACAGTGTCCTGGTCAGGGACTGCTTGTACATTAGTGCTGAGCCTGTGAGGTTGCTTATCATTGATTTCTGTTGTCACCTCCTCTGGTTTTATAAATTGTAGCCAATGTCTAACATGTTAGCTGACCAAAGTTCTGAAAAAAGAGTCACCCTCTGTTCCCCCTGAAATGAACCTTGTTGCCAGAGCTAGAAATCCCTCGCTTCTTGTGAAATTGCCTTTTTACTTTCCTCAGGTGTTTTAGCTCACTTGGAAAGACTAGAGATTGAAGTGAATAGATCCCGTAAAAACTTAGAAGATCTGCAGAGAGCACAGGCCGTTGAAAGCGCTCTTGGGACCAAGATTCATAAACTGAGATGTCTGCGAGATGAGCTGAGAGCTGAAGTGAAGCAACGTCAAGCCAGAGTGAGTGCAAGGGTGACCTTAGCAGGTTTTCCTGGCGTGAAAAGAGCAAGCGTGATCTGGGAATTAGCAAATTTGTATACTGGGCTTCACCTGTGATCTCACTGGATTGATTGCAGCCCTTGACCTCTCAAGTGATCAGTCCTGTAGAATCAACTACAACTACATATTAGTATGAACCAATGATTGTCAGACACTACTGATAGGGCAGGCAAGTTCTTCTTCTTTTTTTTTTTTAATTTATTTGAGAGAGAGAATGAGAGAGCACAAGACGGTGGAGTGGGAGAGGGAGAAGCAGACTCCCCGCTAAGCAGGGAGCCCGATGCGGGACTCAATCCTGTGACTCCAGGAACATGACCTGAGCTGAAGGCAGTCGCTTAACCAAGTGAGCCACCCAGGCGCCCAGGGCAGGCAGGTTCTTTGTAATAGTCTCTTAGCCCGAATTCAGAGACATGAGCCTGTTACTTCAATCTCAGCCTCACTTGAGTCATTGGCACTTTTGTCATTAGCGCCATCTTTCCCTTAACCACACTTGAAACCACACAGTGAACTTTGATTCTTCTTTCTTTTCAGTTTTCTCTCAAACCCAGGGTCAATCAGCAAGACATGTCAAATTTTCCTTTAGATTGTCTTTGTACTTCAAGTATCCACATATGTTGTAAATATTTACTAGGTGATTTGGATGGCAGGATTATTGCAGTAGTCTGCTAGTTGTTTCTCTTTCCGTACATCTACTTCTCCAATAACTCCTGCACGGCCAAGAAAATGCTTCATAAAACACTACGTCATTGAACTTCATATACATGTAAAAAGTATAAACTCTTTCATGTCTGACTTTTTTTTGCTGAATGTTCTGTCTGTGAGATTCATCCAAACTGGTGCATATAGTGGTCATTCTTTTTTATTGCTGTATAGTAATTTCATTTTATGAATAGTCCACAATTTACTTACTAAATTATATTGTTGGTGACATTTGGGTTGTTTGGGTTGTTTCACTTTGGGACTGTGAAACTCTTGTTCCTGTCTTCTGATGTAAAATGTACTTTTCTATTGGGTGTATACCTTGTAGAATCCTAGGTCACAGGGTAGGTATATTATCTTTAGTAAATACTGCCAAATAGTTTCTGGAAGTGATTATACCAATTTTACATTCCCAGCACCAGTGTATGAGATTTCCATTGTTTTGCATCTTTACCAGTACTTGATATTGTCAGTTTAAAAAATTTGTCACTCTGGTGGGAGTGTCATAGTATCTCATGGTGGAGTAATTTGCAATTGCCTGATAACTAATGCTGTTAAGTACTTGGATACTTGAAAGTCTTCTGTTGTGAAATAAGCTTTTCAAGAAGGCTTCTGCAGAAATTTTATTGCATGGTCTATCCCTTACTGAATTGTAGAATCTTTACATATTTTGGGTATGAATTCTTTGTTTGGGATATGTATTATAAATTTTCTCTTAGCCTGTGGCTTGCCTTTTCACTCTCTAATGGTATCTTGTGATGAAAAGTCTTCATTTAAATGAAGTTTGATTTAGGAATCTTAACTTTTTACTTACTGGTCTTGTTTTCTTTTAATAAATTTTTGCCTAACTTAAGATGATGATGTTCTGTGGTATCTTCTAAAAGCTCTATTGTACTTTTTATTTTCAGAGTTACAGTCTATCTGGAATTGATTTTTGTGTATGGTATGAAATAGAGGTCATACTTTTTTTGTTTTTCCATATGGATACCCACTGCATCCAGTACCACTTTCTGAAGTCCATTCTTTTCCCATTGTATTGTAATGGATCTTTGGGTCCACTGTGGGCCTGTTTCTGACTTCTGTTCCATTGGTCTGTTTGTCTTTGTCCGAGTACCAGAGGTTCATTTACTGCTAATTGTTGACACCTGTCATATATGTCGTCTTCTTCCGAATTATCTTGGGCTATTCTTGGCCCCTTGAATTTTACATAAATTTGGGAATCAGCCGTCAGTTTCCAAAAACAAACCTATAGATTTGATTGGGATTGCACTGAATCTATACACATAATTTGGAGAGAATTGAAATATTTTCAGTATTGCATCTTCCAGGCAGTGTACATGATCTATCTTTCCATTATTCTTCAGTTTCTCTCAGCAATGTATATAGTTTTATGTGTAGAGGGCTTAAATCATTCATTATATTTTTCTTTATGTATTTGATTTTTCCTGGTATTGCTGTATATGGCAGGGGTCAGCAAACTTTTCCTGTGTAAGGCCAGATCATCAGTATATTAGGCTTTGTGAGCCAGATGGTCTCTATGGCCGCTACTCAGCTCTGCTGTGTGTTGTGAAGCACCACAAACAACATGTAAATTAATGGGTGTGTTCCAGTAAAACCTTATCTACAAAAGTAAGTGTTGAGTTAGGTTTGACCCACAAGCCTTATCTTGGTGACCCCTGATATATGGTATTATTTTTTAGAAATTTGATTTTCAAATTGTCATGTAGAAATATATTTGATTTTTGTATATTGACTTTATATATCACAACTTTGCTAAATCCACATTAATTCTGTTTCTCTCTCTATTCTTTTGGGATTTCTACATTTGGAATCATGCCATATGCATACAATAACAGTTTTACTCTTCAATCCTTATAGCTTGTTTCTCTTGCCTTATTCTGTTAGCTGAGATCTTCAGTATATTGTTGAGTAGAAATAGTCTTAGGGTCAACCTGTTTGCTCTAAATTTTGTATAGATACTCTTATCAGATTAAGGAAATACTCTTCTATGTCTAGTTTGCTAGAGTTTTAATTGTGATCAGGTATTGAATTTTACTAAATGTTTTTCCTGCATAAATTAAGGTGGTCATATGGCTTTTCTTTTATTAATGTGGTGATACATATTGATTGGTGTTTGAGTGATAATGATTTACATTATTTTACAGGTTAAAGCATCTACTGTCAATGTAGAACCTGACCAAACACCGGAAATCAGTGAGCAAGAAGTTGCAGAAAGAAGAAAGGAAAATGTGAAAGCCATTCTGCAGGCATATCGTTTTACAGGTATAATTTATTTTCTGACCTCTTCCAGTCTGAGTCTCTTGTCTCTAGTGAGTTGGTTTGCTAGATATATTATTAGTCCTGGACTAATTTCATGACCATTGGTTTTTGCCTTCCTCAGCATACACACACAAAGCTGGCATACTATTTGTAGGCATCTTGACCTACAAAATTGGCCTCTTTTTGCAGAAGATTGATTGGTGGCTGGCTTAGATTATTCATTTTAGCTATTCAGTGTGTTTCAGAACTTGTGCTAGAACTGCCTTTGCTGCTGGCTGGCTTGATGCCACTGGTCAAATAATTTGAACCCTTTAGTCTCTGTTTCCCCATTAAAAGGGATTTATCCTGCCTATTATCTATGGCATAGAGGATTGTGGAAGGAAATGGACTATTGTACATTAGTTGACACTCAGAGGAAAGTAAGAGGTAAAATGAAAATTTCAAAATCTCTTCTTCGATAATTTGATATTAGGATGTTTTATCTTTTCCACCAACCATCTTCTGTGGTTTTAACAACTCAAATTCAAAGTGAGCCAGAGTGAGTGAGAAGAAAGAGTCTATGATGTTCCTTCAACACACGTTTGAACACATACTATATGTACGAGGCAGTGCTGAAGCGAATGGGATATGCAGCTGAAGAAGATACTACCTTTTCTGACATCTGTTGAGAAGTTTCATCTTGTTTGCTTCAGGGCTCAGTGGGAAACTGACCAGCCGAGGGGTCTGTGTCTGCATCAGCACTGCTTTTGAAGGAAATCTGCTGGATTCCTATTTTATCGACCTTGTCATACAAAAGCCACTTCGGATACATCACCATTCAATTCCAGTCTTCATCCCCCTAGAGGAGATATCTGCAAAATACTTACAGACTAATATTCAGCACTTCCTGTTCTGTCTTTGTGAATACCTAAACGCTTATGCTGGGAGGAAGTACCAGGCAGATCGACTTCAGGTATCTTGCCTGGGATTTTTCTTTTTTTATAGACTCTATTTATTTATTTGACAGAGAGCACAAGCAGGGGACCGGCAGAGGGAGAGGGAGAAGCAGACTTCCCAGCTGAGCAGGAACCCCGATGTGGGGCTCGATCCCAGGATGCTGGGATCACAATCACCTGAGCTGAAGGCAGACGCTTTACTGACTGAGCCACCCAGGCGCCTCTGTCTGGGATCTTATATAGCATATTTTATGAGCCCAGAATAGACTTAAAAAGGGGAAAAGGGGGGGGCAGTCAAGTTTTCTTTTGTATTTTAAAATGTTTTATAATTCTGAGCCAGAAGTTTGACCATTATCCTTCTGATGCATGTTTCTTATTTATATACAAGCTATTTTCCACCTTCTTCCCCTGTTGAAACTCTGGATGCTGTTGAAGCATGGATACTGGTTAAGGGATTATTTACTCCTTGATGGTGGTCCTCAGGCTTATATACTTGACCCTTTCTTCCCTTCACAAAGTAGTACAGTCACATCTCATTGTACTTCTCTTTATTGTGCTTCACAGATACTGCGTTTTTTTCTACAGATTGAAGGTTTGTGGCAACTCTGTGTTAAGCAAGCCTGTCGGTACCATTTTTCCAACAGTATTTGCTCACTTTGTGTCTCTCTGTCACATTTTGGTAATTCTTGGAATATTACCAAATTTTTCATTATTTGTTATTGTGATCTGATTATTGATTACGAATCACTAAAAGTTCAAATAATGGTGAGCATTTTTTAGCAAAAAAGTATTTTTTTAGCAATAAAGTATTTTTAAATTGTGTACATTAGTTTTTTAGACATGATGTTATCGCATACTAAATAGACTACAGTGTAGTGTAAACATAACTGTCCTGGGAAACCAAAAAATTCATTTGACTCACTTTATTGCAGTGGTCTGGAACTGAACCCACAGTATCTCCAATGTATGCTTGTATAGTTTCTATGCTTTTAATTCAGAGGGATTTATAGAGTACCTACTGTGTGCCAAGTGCCTTGCTGAACCTTAGGTATAGAAGCAAAACAGAATAATACATAGGGGAATACTATCTATCTTTGTCTAAACTCTGGCCTACCTTTTTGGGGTTGCAGTGGAGCTAGGGTTGGGCTAAAACAGATTTTTTTAAGTAGATGGGAAATGAATGCAGATAAGGAATATGTGACTTTTATAAGCTTGGTGTCCTCTTCCCCTCCCCCCCCACCTCCATGCATTTAGAATACCTCTGAAGCTCTTGGTTGTCAGTTAAACTGATACGAGAATGCAGACACGAAGCATCTTAGCCAGCTATACAAAGACAAAGTATCTCCCTTATGCCCCAGCCATTCATTCAGTGCTTTCTGCAGGCCTTTCTAGGATGCCGCCAACTCTTAGTTATAATCTTATAAATCTTTATCATTAGTCCTTTTTACAGGCTTTTCTCTGCCCTTTATTTCTCTGAAATTTAATTCATGGGCCCTATTTTTGTAGATGTGTTTGAAGTGTCACAACCACTCACTGCCTTTGGAACTGTAATCATCATATATTTTGTGTCTGTTTTGATCCCCACCCTCCTCAGAGTGACTTTGCAGCCTTTCTGGCTGGGCCCTTGCGGAGAAACTCACTGTGCAACTTGCTGTCATTTACTTACAAAGTGGAGCCACGGGGTCAGTCATTCCCATTTTGTGCCAGACTGCTGTATAAGGACCTCACGACAGCCCTGCCAACTGATGTCACTGTTACGTACCAGGGTGAGGAAGGGTGCCTTGATGGAGAAATGATAATGTGCTCTGTGTGATTCAGGTTGAATGAGACAGGGTAAAATAGGTAGACTGTATCAGTGGGACCTCTGGAGACCCATTCTTCTGTTAATCTACTAGAAATTTACTCAGTAAAATACAAAGAATATTTTCCTTCTACCATTTTTCCTCTCCTCTTTGTAAGTAGTAAACATAATTACCCTAGTTCCCACCTCCTTTGCTTCATCTGACTCTGCCAGTGTTCCTTTGGTTTATGATTTGATGTCATTGGAGACCCCTCTTGAGGAGAGACAGCTAATGAGGCTGAGTTGTAGGGTCACTTATGGTGAAGAAAGCCAAAAGACTCATTTCACTAAGAAGCCAGTTAGACAAATAAGTATACACTTAGCTCTCTAGAGCCTCTTCTGTATACAGGAGTTTTTTAGGACTGGCTGAGAGAGATTGTGTTATTGTTTTAGTTAAATGTACTGAAGTAATGTGACATGGGCAATAATGAAAAATAGGATCAAATATTTTTAGGAGGTGGAAGTTTTGAAGCTGCCACAGATTTCACACCATAGGTTTTAGACTTCTGGGCAGAGTATGTTCAGGTCTCAAAATTTCACTGGTCCAATAAAGGGCAGTCTCAGCTCCAGACTAGGGAAAAAAAAAAAGGTTACATGGGTCCAGAACATCAGTGATCCGGGTTCTGATTCCCCCAGTTGCACTAAATGAGATTAATATAATCTGTTTTAGGAACGGATGCATTATCCTCCTCCTGGGAAGAACAGCGAGCATCCCATGAAAATCTGTTTTTTTCAAAGCCCCTACATCAAGTGTTTACTTCATTTGCAAGAAAAGGAGAAAAGTTGGATATGAGCCTCGTCTCCTAGAATATTTTCATTGGGAACACGACAGAAGTGAGTAAAATAATTCTATGCACAGTCCCAGGCTAGGTCCTGGCAACTGAAAACTGTTGAAAGGCTCAGACCCCTTGCCTGGGGCCCATCTTTGCAGTGAGAACAGTCACATACCTCATCAGGGTGGTAAGGGGCAAGTTTGGACAGTTGAGGTATTGATTTGATCATACGTTTTAGCTGAAAATCAAGGGATGATAGGGCAGTAGAAGGCATTTTGTGAAAGAGGGAGTATGTACCTTTTAATGAAAGAGTATTCCTAACTTTTATGAAAGCTTTAAGTAATTCTGCCTCATTTTCCTGAGACTTTTGAAAAGAAAGTTCTTAGAACACTCCAGGTTCCTGATATGACAGGAATAACACGGTTAAGGAAAGTGTGTTTGGTCTTTAGTTTGAAGCAGTGTGTTCTAGGCTACGGTTTTATAAAGAATACAGTGTAAGTACTGTGGATAATCGGGCTCTGTGTAGCTAATACTTTGTTTTCTAAACATGTTCGTAGAGAGTTGAATGTATTAAGTCAGTTATAAAAAAGCATGATCAGAAGCCTACTCAAACTCGGTGGTTGTAAAGGGCAGCAGACCCTCCCTCATCTCACTGCTGCAGGCTCTCAGCCATAGCTCCACAGTTGTCTCCCCCCATCTCCTGATCTTAGTAGTGGATCATTTCTCCTTATATTATAACCCCGGTCTCAGTCTTGCTGACAGTGTTTTGTTATAGGGATGGTGCCCAGATGGGAAAGCCTGTGTTTGGTGGGTCCAGCTATCTCAGGGCCTGTCCCCGCTTTGCTCAGTCACAAATAGGAGTCCTTCCTGCCCTGGGCCCAGAGCTGCATCCAGGCCCTAACACAGTCACTTCCTGGACCAGATGACCCAACCTACTTGTGTGGGCGCCCAGGGGGACAGGTAGAGTCCACTTGTACCACCATTTAGAAGAAAGCTTGAGAATAATCAGATGTCTTAGTTCAGGCTCTTGCCTTGCAGGCACATGGTAAGGATGCGTGGTGTGAGTTAGCAAAGTACTTAACAGAAGTTTCACAATGATCATATTCAAGTTGAGTAAAGCTTTTAATAAAACAGTCTTGTTCTTTATCAATACCTGTAAATTCTCTTTTAAAGCAGTAGCAAAGGCGACTGTAGCAAGAGCTCAAGAGGCAAGGCAATATTGGAAAGTGTTTTTTTTTTAACAGAAAGTTAAAAATATAAATGTAGAAGATCTGTTTATATATTTTTCTCTCAGAAATAAATTCCCTTTCCCTCCCTCCCACCAAGTAAAAGGAAATATTGCACTTTCTGTTCTCATGACTAAGGTGGCAGGGGTTCCAGAAGAACCTTTCAAGATTATCAGGAACATCAGCATGAGGGCCAGTTCACCTAACCCGGACCACATGGAGACGAGCAGGTCTCCAGCTTGAAAGACTGCTTCCAGGTGAGCGCTGGGGAGCAGAACACTTGCCTGCTCAGCTGTCAAGTCCTGCCAAGTCCTCGTCTGAAGCCCAGTTCTCCCATCTGTGCTCCCAGCCCAGAAGCAAAGGCAGCTTTGTTCCACCTTGGACACATTTCCTGCTCAGAGTGGCCATGGCCTCTCTGGGGGAGGGAGGGCTGGTCAGACTCAGAGCTCTGGAAGGATTGTTCCAGTACTACACCTAAGACCCCTACTCTCTGAGGAAGCTACAGGCACACTGAGGAATAGTATGGCCGCCCTCAGAGCTCACGTATCCATGAACAAATGAAGGCTTGAGGAGATTTTTTAAACCTAAAGTCTATGTGAGTGTGCACTTCAATTTGGGAATGCTGGGACTTGGTCATGTATCCTTTCCCAAGGCCTTTCTTTGATTCCAAAAAATAGATTCTCCCTTCCCATTTGGACTGTGGTGGGGCTGGAGGCCATTCAGGAGTTGTCCACCACCTGGTGGGGCAGGGTGACCGAGGAGCCGTTAGGGAAGGCAGCTGGCTTCTCACGCCCCTTCAGGAAAAAGGTTAGCAGTTCCCCCTTCCCTTTCACAAAGATGGGCCCTCGCCTCACAAAGCGGAAGCCGTACTCTCGAAGGATGGCTTGTGTTTCTTCCACCACCTGTAGAGGGAGAATGTCGCGTGAGCTCCGAGCGGGGCCGCAGGTCCCAGAGAGGCTGCCCCCGTCTGCACATCAGCGGGCACGGCCATAGCGCTCGCCGTAGTGCTTGCTGTCCCTGGAGGACGGCCCCAGGTTGCCTGGGGCAGCATCACTCCCTCTTTTGTCCCCTGTCCCCGCTTTGTGGTGCCTTCCTGCCAGACCCAGCTGGCACAGCTTGGGGAGGCTCCAGGGGGGATTGTTGGAGGCACGAGATCAGAAAGTTCATACCAAAAGGCGGGATAGTCTTACCGAGAAGTTAAGCCTAAATTTCGGAAAGGGGAGTGAAGTAGTTCCTCCCTTCCACTGGGGCAGCTCTTCCCACCCTTGCCTGCAGTCTCCCGGAACCACCCCCTCGACACTCTGGGCCGACAGAAAGGCAGCAGAAGGCCAGGGCAACACGCCCTAGTCCGATTTTGTTCCCAGCCCCCGGGCCTGAGCACACGCTCTGCTCTGCTGCTGGACATACCTGAATGTTGCCCATGACCCCTGTGGACTCCATCCTGCTGGCCACATTGACCGTATTGCCCCAGATGTCATAGTGTGGTTTCCGGGCTCCAATGACCCCAGCCAGGACCCCTCCTTTGTTCATGCCTGGTGGAGGGACATAAAATTGAGCACAGCCATGAGCCATATTTTATCCCCTTCACTATCCATCTCAGAAGCCACAAGCTCCTCTCCCAAAAAATTCACCACCTGACCCCAACCACAAAGCTCCTAAGTCTGCTAACGTATTCCTCATGAAGCTTGTACTGAAGCCACCAGAGAGCAGATACGTCTCCTGTTTATCCTGTCCTGGCCAATACGCTAACTAGTTCATGCAGTACGGAAGTTGCCAGTTTCAACACCTATCTGGTACTTCAGGTGAGCTCCTCCAGAAGTGAGAATCCCACCTCCACCCCCTCACAGTGGGGACAGCAGGGGGACATTAACTCCTAACAGGCTGGACTGAGGCAGCAAAGCTCTCTGCAGGCATGCAAGACTGCCTGGGGAGGTGGACAGCCTGCCTTCGCGGCCACACTCAGAAGGCAGGCTAATCGCGGCGAACGGTGTGGGACACACACAGCTGGCCACCATTTCACCAGATGTGCAGTCCGATCACCTGGAAGAGATCCCTAAGGTCCCAGAGCTGTGCCTGTGTGACCCTCCCCAACCTAAATGCCTCTAGGCCTAAGTCTCTCCGCCCTTCCTGCTGATGTGCTGAGTCCCTCGCGTCAGGGAGCGTGGCAAGGAGCACACAGGCCCGAGAACCCTTACCAATGCGCAGCATGAAGTTGTTGAAGGACTGGTTGTTGATGTTTGTGAGTGTATCCTTCATGGCCAGAGCAAAGTCCGCCAGATCGGCCAGGTGCTGCCAGCGCTCCTTGTCTGACTTCTCCTCCTGGGCCGGGGAGCAGCGGCGAGAGCGTCAGGAGCCTGTATCGGCACCTCGCTCCCCGTCACAGCATTCTGCAGGTGAATTCCTGCACCGCGTCATCAGAGGCCCTACTCTCCACTTCCCACAGATGAGTCCGTGACCTCAACCTCGGCTTGTCACGGACCGCTGCCCTGCATCCCTTAGGGCCCGCAGGTGGAGAACAGCGGTCCCGGCCAGCTACATCAATTCCTGTCTGCCATCACCTCTCCTGAACCTGGGCTCTGAAGTTTTGGATAGCTTTCATTTTCATTCCTTAACTGGATTATAAGCCCTTGAAGGTCATGACCCATCTTAGACACATTTCTTTAGCCTCATCCATAAAATGGAGATGGTAGTAGTACTTATGTAGGACAGTTGTAAGATAAAACAGGATGATAACAGTCTAAGAACAGCTGTTAGGACCAGGGCCCCCACAGCTCACTTCCTCTTCATGAAAACAGCTGCTCCACAGGTCTGATATAACAAAAGAACAGGCTGATGCCAGCCAGTGAGCTCCAAAGACCCCTTTCCTTTCAGAACTACTCCCAACCTGGATGTTTTCACTGTTACATAATTGCTTGGATGGTCGCCACTCCCCAGTTCCTTCCAAAGTCTAGAGCACGAAGGGAGCATGGCCACGATTAGAGCAGTTATGCCTGGCCTAAGCTGTGCACCAGTGGGGGGCTGTGTAACCTATTCTTCCTCTGCTTGTTAAACTTGGCCAGTAAATCTGATTTTTTTTTTATTTTTATTAAGATTTTATTTATTTATTTGAGAGAGAGAGAATGAGAGATAGCACGAGAGGGAAGAGGGTCAGAGGGAGAAGCAGAATGCGGGACTCTATCCCGGGACTCCAGGATCATGACCTGAGCCGAAGGCAGTCGCTTAACCAACTGAGCCACCCAGGCGCCCCAGTAAATCTGATTTTAAATTTGCATCACATGGTGCTAGTGGTGTGTGACCCATTGACCCAACAGTGCTCACTAGTGTCAGCTACCCTTGTGACTCCTTGTCTCACACGCTAGGTGTGGACTGCCACGCTCTTGCCCCAGGAGGCAGAGTCCCATCTCCTCCAGCCATGGGGTGGTCAGCTACCTTGTTGGAGCTGGCAAAGCCGTTGGTGTTGACATCTGGGGTGACTCCTGAAGCTGCCATATAGGTGCTGCCAATGGTTTTGATCTTGGTGATGACCCGGAATTTGGGATTGTCCAGGAGCTGAGGCCAGTATCAAAGGAGAGAGAAAGGTCAGCAGAGTCCAGGGAGATAAATGAGCTAACTAAGTGGCAGATGTGCCTGTTTACAACAACCCCACAAGACATCCAAGAGATGCTTTCCTAAAAAAGCTATCAATTCTGCCACTTATTGGTCACCTCATGTTAGGCAGACTTGCTGATGAAGCCTGTGCTTCTGTGACCTTAACATGGGACAAAACTGCCAGGCCCCTGGGGTGCTTGAGCTATTTATGTAAAAATATTTTCTTGGCAATACAAGTTACCTAATATTTACTGAATCTGAATTTGAGGGTAGGAGGAATCCGGTGCCTCAGGATCTTGTTTGCACCAGTCCTTATGCTGTGATCTTGTAGGTTACTTCCCGGGCTCCTGTCTTCCCCACTCAGAGCCCCCAGGCAGCAGAGGCCCCCACGTTACCGGGAGAGGCTCATACGGGAAAACAGAGCAGCAAGGGTAACTACCATTTCTCTGACCCCTGCAGCCTGTCCTGAGAATCTGGAAAGAGCTGGCTTTGGGGCAGGAGAGGGGCAGGATGGGCACTCACAGAATCAAAATCTGAGATGATCTCATTGAGGAAGCGCAGACACTCAATGCCACCATTATTGATGCTCTCCTCTGTGTAGAAGTCGGCAAAGTTGGGCAGGGAGGCAAACATGACTCCAATCTCATCGTAAGACTGGCTGTACAGCTCCTAAGAAGAGGCAGGGCCAGAGTGCTCAGAGAAACACTGGTGGAATGACGTGCCCCAGAAATGACTCTCTTCCACACCCATGATCGGTGTCCTCAGCTTTTTGGATGGACATCCCAACTTTGAATTATAAGGAAGTGGCTTATTGCAACTTCGAACAAGTAAAGTTTCTCTGGGCCCTGTAACAGCCCTGGCTTTGAGAAACGGTGCAAGTGAGGCATAAGAACCCGTCTGTGTGAGGAGATCACAGCTGACAGAGGTTGGGGCCTTCCAGGGATGTGTGGCCCACAGAAAACGTCTAAGCGGTGCCCTTTACCGGAAGCCTGTGACATGTTACAGTTGCCGCTTGCGTGCAGCCCTGCCTGGACCAGTGCCCGCTCCTGAGGCGGCCTTGGGCCCAGACGGGCTCACAAAAGCAAGCCAGATGAAGACACACAGCCTCATGGGTGCTGGCTACTGTGTGAGGCCACCCCTCACCTCATCTCTCTTCTTGGACCCCAGGAAATGGCGTGCCACGTGCTCAGGCAACATGTTGGTGACCAAGGCCTCATTCCAGCGCCGCATCTCGTAGACACGTTCCTTCTGGTCGTGGACCTCGATCTTCCATAAGAACAGTGTCCTTGCCAGTTTTTCTACCTGCGGACGGACACAGGCAAGGTGTGTGCTTTAGCTGGCCATTTGAAGAAAAGACGAAGAACAGAACTTGGAGGGGTTCCATGGGGAAACACTGGCAGGAAGACCACTAAATGGCAAGGGAAAGACGACGCAGAGAGACCCACCGACTGAAAAAGGCCACCCTGCAGCTACAGCTACAGAGGTTCCTGGCCTCGCCGTGGTTCTGCAGAGCGCCAAGAGCCTTCTGGGTACGCGGGAGGCTTCCCTAATTCTGGGACCTCTTCTAGCTACGAGTCTGTCTTGGAGGCGGATGGCAGCCGTGGGGATCTCCTAGCCTAGGGTGGAGTCCCCACTTCCGGCAGGTTCCATCGGGCTGTACTTTCCCTGGCAAACCACTGGGGGGCACTTGGGTTAACGGGGAGCTAGTTCCCCGCCCTCTCTCTCTCTCTGCTTGTTTTTTTTATCTCTTCCTTGTAACCGAACAAAACTTCATCAGCTTCTTTCCCTTTCTCTTCTGGCTGCATGGTGAGTGTGCTAATTAGTGACTCCCAGAGCCAGGGTGGGTGAAAATCCAGGGGCCTCTGGCCTAGGAAACAGATGTTCTCTAAGCTTTTAGCCTCCTCTGTGTGCTGCTGCAGCATGCCGGAGGTGGTCAGGAGGAAGAGGTAAAGAACTGTCCTTGTATGACAAGGGAGGAAACCAGAAAATGGAGGGACGATGGCTCAGCCAGGGCCACATGCTGGGCTGGGTAAGGGAAGCCAGCATTCCCGAGGAGCTTGGGTTCTTGGACCCTGAGACTGCTTTCTCAGGAGGCCCCACCAGCTTGTGTGCAGGGGGGAGGGGAGGGTGTGCAGGCACTCACGTGGCGCGAGAAGTAGTAGAAGCTCAGCATCATGACGAAGATCATCACGGTCATGGAGTACTTAGAAGGCACCAGGGGCAGCCTGTGGGGCAGAGAGGAGTTTGATTCCCTCCAACAGGGCTGGGCCTTTCCTGTCCCTGGGCCAGAAACTCCTCCCAGCTCTTGAAGCACCTTCACATCAAGTTGGGACTCCCACAGGTAAATCTTTCTTAAATCACTGGGCTCCTAAATAGGCAGCCCAGCCCTGGCCCCTCCTGGAATCCACCTGAGGGTGCCCCAGATGTTTCATAAACACTGTAGGTGTGACCACGGAAGCCTCTGGAGAGAGACTAGCGTTGCATTGATGGGACGGTGGCACCATATATGATTCTTTTTTAGTAACTTCACATGTTTGTATGGAGCTCCAGTTTTCATTACTGTACAGTAGTCTGTTGTATGAATAGATCACAACTTGTGTCCCCATTTGCTGTTGATGTGGTTTGGGTTGTTTTCGTCTGCCTTGGCTGTTTTGTGTGTATGTGTAGCTGTGATGAACGTGGTTATGGACAACCCTGCACACACATCCTGGGATGCAGAGGTGTGCATGGACTTCTGTAAAGTGTGTAGGATGCGGTGGAATTGCTGGGTCGTAGGTCTATTTGCAACTTTACTAAATAACTCCAAATTGTTTTCTAAAATGGTTGTACCAATTTATACACCCATCAGGAGTGAGTTACCATTGTACTTGATATTACCAGACTTTATTCTTGCCAAACTGGTAGGTGTGTAGTGGTTTTTTTGTTGTGGTTCTGATTTTCACATCCTTGATTACATGAATGCCTTTCATTTATTAGAGGCCATTTAGATTTCTTCTTTTGTGAAGGACCTATTCATTTCTTCCGCCCTAATTCTGTTAGGTAATCTATTTTTTTTTCCCTTTAACTTACTTGAAGGTCTAATCAAGTCACTGAATCACAAAATTCTAAAACTTTAGAGCTAGAAGGGACCTTGGAGAACTTCTAGTCCAATATCCTCTTCAAGACATGAAACAGACTCAAAAACTGGCCTGCCTGTGGCCCCAGAGACAGCCCTGCATCAGGGGGCAAAGCCTCATCTTCCAGATCCTTCTGGGTCGGGTACAGTGCTCTTTCCTCATTTCTCCGCGGTCTGTCCCGCCGGTTCCCGCTCTCCTTACCTCAACCCAGCCCCCCTCCCACCCCCTAAACCACACTACCGCTGCTCCCCTGGTTCACTCTGAGCCCGGATGGGCCACGACGGCCAGGTCCATACCGAAGTCATTCTACCTCTGCTCCAGCCCTCCTACAGAAACACATACTGACTTCCCTAATGAATATCCCACATCGTGTGCTTTTGAAGGGGTGAGATCATGGCCTTCTCTTGTCTCCAGAAGAGAGGGAGACTCAGTGCGGACCAGAAAGGGGAAAGCCGCTGCCCTCACCTGCCAGTGCCGTTGAGCCCAGGGGTGGAAAATCCCTGCATCTTCTCTAAGGCGACCGCGGGAAAGCTGCAGGACAGAGGCGCATACTCAGGCCCCACCTGGGGACAGGAGGCTGACGCCCAACGGCCAAACACGGAGGTCGCCAGGATCGTCCACTCATCAAGAATGGAAAGGATCTACCCCAGGATCACAGCCAACTAGTGGCATCTCTGTCAGGAGCCATGAACCCTGATTCCCATACCATCCTTTGTTGAGCCCCAGGCCCATGACCTTGGAGTGGGGACTTGGGGGTGGGAGGAAGGAGACAATACAGATGCCCAAGCAGGCTTCATCTTACTCATGTTCCTGAAAACGTCTGCGGTCGTATTCATCAAAGATGGGGCGCCAGGCATAGATGTTGATGACGGCCACGGCCCCGGTGACGAGCAGCATGAGTGTGAGCTTCACCATGTGGCTGACCTGCACCAGCATGATGGTGGCAATGAGGGACAGCACGGCGACATAGCTGTAATACTTGGGGTTCTCTACACAGCCATCCTCCACCTCCAGCCCTGCGGTGCTGTTGTTCGGTCCTGTGTAGTACTGGAGACAGCTGAGCTGGAGGCCAGGACAGGGGAGCAGGGAGGACATGGGGTGCAAGGGAACAGCAGACACGGGTCAGAGGCGGCTGGGTCGTGGCCACCACGTCCCACAGCTCCCTCGGAAACACTGACAGATGGGACAGCTGACCAAGGAACAAGAATACAAACGTTAGTAATTCCCACTAAGAGCTGAACCGTATCTCATTTGATGTTTATGAAAATTCTCCAGCGTCTGTAGGATTGTCACCTTTATAGCAAACCCAAAGAGGCTGGCCTGGCGCCAACCAGCGCACTCAGCAGGTGGTAGGGTCAGAGCGAGGAGTCCAGTTTTTAGGTTTCACATACAACACGCTCTTGCTCACGGCACAGTGTTGCTTAAGGAGGGGCCGTGGGGCCAGCCAGGGAGCCTCCGTCACAGCTTCGCCACCTGGCAGCCAGTCTCTGCTCAGACACTTCCGTTTCTGGAGCCTGCTCCTGCTGCTGGGCAGACGTAAGTCAATGGCGAGTGCATCCATAAACTGAAGCAAACCTAATTCCTATAACTTCCACCCACTTGTGGAAGGTGCTCATCTGGCTCTGGGGAAGTTCTCAGCATGTGAGAAGTTTTCATACCTCCCTGGTCTTTCACCCCTCCCCTGGCAACAGGACCTTGAGATATCCTGCACAGAGTTCGTGACCCTGGTAAACGGCAGTCTCCAGACCCAGCACCAGGCTCCAGGTGTGCTCCAGCCAGGCTAGGGGCTCGGGCTTCTCTTCCCTGTGCTTGGGCACTGTGCGACCAGGGGCACGTTCAGTTCTGCAGCTCCTAACTTCTCATTCTAGTTGGGCTTTGGATCAACTGGCCCACGGGCTTTTTCACCTAGACTGCTGCCAGAATAAGTCTCCATGATGAGTATTTTCCGTGTGCTTAAATTGTTACTTGAAAAAAGTAGGACTTTTTAAGAGCACGTATACAGTACTCCCAAAATTGTTGGGAGCTGTGAGGACTGACGAGAATGTCAACTGCAGCTCCCAGCTGCCAAGGCTCAGTAACTGACTGGTGGTTCTGAATCCACAGAGCTGGGCTTCTAACTGCTGTCCCCCCCACCCCAAGAAAGCATCTGGCTGCCCCCTTGACACCTGCCGCTTTTCCATGAATTGAGAGCAGAGAAGATGATTTGTCTGCCCCTAGCCATTTGGGCTCTAGGAAGGTCTGGCAACGTTCAAATGGATGAAGGCCAAACAAGAGAGCTCCTTTAGCAGAACAAGTTTCCCTCCCTGGTCCTGGATACATGACAGTAGCCACACTGTAGGGAATACTTAAGATGTGCATTGTGCCCCTTGATCAGTAAGATAGGGAGTTTCTTCACAGGATTGGGATTTAGAACAGCTCGATCCTTGATTCTGTCACTTACTGACAGTGTGACCTAAAACAAGTGAATTAACCTGAGCCTCACAGCTGTAGATAATGATACCAACGTCTTGGAACTGTTAGAAAGATTAAATGAGTCAGCATCCAGCACGGGGCCTGGGGCATGGTGTTGGGCTCTCGGACCCTGGGAGAGCAAGGAGCTGGGGCAAACAGGTCAGTCTCAGGTTTCTGGGGTAGAAGACCCTGTCCATTTGGCCAAGGTGATCTGTTTAGGAAACTAACTGCCAATCTAAACCTGTGTCTAGGGGTGGAGGATTGGTTGACCAACTGCTCATACTGGCCAATATAGAAGCCTTTCTCCACCAAGTCGGCGGGGTCGGGGGGGAGGGTCAAGGCACAGCAGGAGCTCACCATGTCCACGACGTTTGCCATAACCAGAATGAAGATGGCTAACATGGCCCAGGTGTTCCTGGCCCAGCGGGTCCGGTCGATCCAAGTCGAGAAGGCAACAAGCTTCTTAGGAAAGGCCTAGAAGGAATGGAATTTCAGGGGCCGTGAACTTTTGGGACAGTGTTTTCTCACATAAATAGGACTGCTAATGATTCTGGTTGCTCCCCTACCTCCCAGGAACCTAAACTGTAGTCCTTTGCCTGTGAGTCCACCAAAAACTGACTGGCAGAGCTGAAAAGGCAGCGCAGGAGGCTGGCGCTCTTTATCAGTCCCCCTGGAGGAGTCTGTGACACAGCAGGGCCCCCACTGGAGCCCTCTCTGGAGCAGACACAGTGACCAGGCCAGGAGGCTGTGGGCAGCGCCAGCCAGCGGCAGCCCACCCCGTAAGTCCAGCAGCAAGGCCATGTCAGGGAACGATTTTCAGGGCCAGCCACGTTTGCCTGGCTGCTCTTTTCTGGGTCAGTATAGCCCAAATCCTCCAAGTCACCCGGCAAGCCACCTGCTGGTCTCATTACCCTGAAACACTGCTTTTCTCCTCTCATTCTGATCAAAAACTGCATGGCACACCCCACTTCTTATGGGAGAAACCCTCAGTCCTTTTGGCTTTCACGGTCCTTCACAGTCAGGGCCAACCCCCTTCCAGCTGGGCCTCCACTGCTTTTCTACAGTTTCCCAGGCGTTTGGGCTCTGGCGTAGGCACCGTGCTTGCTCAGCTGACGTGAGTGCGTGAGTGACGAGGAATGAATGGATGGACAAACCCCTGAACCGTCCTAACACGACAGTCGATGGGACGCCTGACTCCGTCCATACCGCTCCCGCTTCCCGAGGGCTTCGCAGCCAAAAGGAAAAGCGGCTCTTACCCGGGGAAAGATGGCGGCCAGCGAGCAGATTGTCAGGATCAGAAGCAGAACCTCCCCGACCACAAAGGTCATGTAATTTGTCATTAGCCTGTAACGGGGAGATGACAGGGAGGGGGGTGGAGGGATCAGTGAGATCGGGGGAGGGGCTAGGAGAGGAAAGAAGGAGGGAGAAGAGCAGGCCCTCTAGGGCTGCACCTGAAACATTCCCAGGACGCCACCGACTCATGCCTCCTGCTGCATAGATGAGATAGAGGCCGAGTCGGGCGGCTGCCAGCTGAGTGCAGGGCACGGGAACGAGCGCTGCCCCCGCCCCCAGTGGTAGCTGTTGCTGGGGCGCAGGGGGTTCTTGGGAGTGAGCACTGTGCCGTGAAGGGGGAGCGTGGGACAGGGCAGCTCACCTGCTGCCAAGGGCTGGGAGGGCTGGAAGGGCTACCCCCCCACACACACACACAACTGCACAGAGCTTCACAGCTGCACAGGGCCTCCCTCACCCACCTTCGCAACTCTGAGCAACTCGGGGTCTCCAAATCCTCCCCGTTCACACAACCCCTACCATTTGGTTCTGGAGAGACCTCTGTTGCTAAGCCAGTGCCTGATTCTCAGTCACCTCTCCTCTCCCTCTGGGTCTTTACTGAAATTCCACCCTGTGCCCTGTTGGTGAGGCCTGCTCCGCCCCGTGCTCTACGCAAATGCAGAGCAGGCAAAATTAAACTCGCCACCAGCATTCCCGGCTCCCTTCTTCACTTTTATCCACCCACTTGCCGCTGTCCGCAGGCATGTTTTGATAATTCAGTTGTTGATCTCTGTCTTCCCCTGCTAGAATGAAAGCTCCACGAGAGCCAGGCTGTTTGTATGCTGTGTTCACTGTATATCCCTAGGCCTCAGTGCCAGGCACGGAGTATCCAGTGAGTATCTGCAGTGAATGAATGCATTTGATCCTTCCAACAATCCTGGAGTTAGTAGGGCAGACATTATCACCTTCAAGTTGTTGGTATCATCATCGTCTTTGGTTTCTAGAACCTTAGGGACATGGCCATACAACAAATCGGCCAAGAAGTTTGTCTAGAACTTGTAACTAAGTCCAGGGCTCTTTACGGTCCCCCTAACTATAGCTGGAACAGTCTCCACCGCCTCCCGTCTGACAGGGAACCCCTGCGCGGGAGAGAGCGGCCGAGGGGCCATGGGGAGGGAGGGGCGTGGCAGCTGTCCTTTACTTGGGCCTCAACAGCTGGGGCAAGGTCTCCAGAACATCCCTTGCCCCGGGGGACCTGCTACTGTGTGACAGAGCTGTTAGTACCCAGAGCCTAAAATCCATCAGCTAAGATGAAGCAAGAAAGGGAAGCCAGATCAGCCCTGATGACTGAGCTTGAGGAGTGTCCCCCATCTTCTGTCTCCTTGTCCCAGAACTGCTCAGGCCCATGCAGCCAGGGTCTCCATCCTCCTGGACCCCTCTCTTTCAGCTTTCTCAGTCCTGGTTTTGATGCTAATGCTATTCTAGAACCCCAAGGTAGATAGGAAGGAGAGGGTCCAGGGCATGGTCCTAGCAACACGTGGGCCTGAATTCAGCTGGGCTGTTCCACTGGAGGCAAGGAAGAGACCAAGCTTTTGCCCCGATGTCATGCTCCAGCTGAGGCACCTACATCACTCACACCTCTAGCCTAGGAAGCTCATCACCTTTCACCCTCCCCTAGCCTATCAGCTCCTGCCATGCCCTCCCTCACCAGGGGTCAATGAGTATCTCGACCAGGGCCGTGCAGAGCAGGACAACGCAGGAGCAGCTGAAGGCAGCCCCGCTCTGCTTTTCCTTCTCCACTGAGTAGCGGGTTTCCATCTCGGGGTCCATGAACCTCATGGAAAGGAGGAAGGTGTTTCTCTTCTTCACTCTGCAGTGGAAACAAGCCCCAGGGAACACAAATGTCACATCTGCCTTGGCCAATCAGGAAGGGGTCCCACTCAAGATGGCCAACTTCCTGAACCCCCGAGTCAGGGCCCACGAGTGTGTGCAGAGGAACCACTTACACCTGGGCAGACTCTCGCTCAAGCAGGGCCTCATTGAGTAGCTGGTTGAGCTCATGCTCGTCCTCAGAGGCGTCCACCACTCGGTCAGCCAGGTCCTGAAGGCGCAGCCTCCGGCGTGGGTTGGGAAACGAGGGATTGTCAGCCTGCAAGCCAGCGCAGGAGGTGGGGGGTGGGGTTGGGGGGGGTGCAGGAGGAGTGGGGGAAAGAGGGTGGTCAGGGGAGAGGAGCAAAAGGGATCACACTCAGGAGGACTAGGCCCTCGGCTCTAGAAGCCACTTTGTGGGAAGTCTTCCCAGCGCCCCCATGCAGCTCCTTCTGCTTGGGTCTGGACCCAAAGCCACAGTCCTTCCTGGCTTCCGGGCCCTGTGGCCCCTGCTAGGAGGAGGGGGTGCCACCCAGCCATGCGCATTGGCATCCCCGGGGAGGTGAATGGCCCCAACCCTGGGGCTTAAGGGAGCTCTTAGAGGAATACATATCCAGTTCATTTGGGGGAAGAAGGTCTGAGGGACGGGAAGTGCTGGGAGAGGAAGGGACACCCGCGTCACTAGTGGGGTGGTGGGGCTGAAGTACCCGCTACCATTTTTATTCCTACAGAGGAGAAGCATCGGCTCCAAAAATATGAATCCAGACTGATTACACGGCCATCACCCCAAATAATAATGGACACTGGGCTCATCAGAGCTGTGTGTACGGGTCCAAGATAGCCCGGCCTTAAGCTTGGGTGTACCGCTGGCTGACAGTAGGACCCATGTGACTCATGTTCCCCAGCTCCAACTTTCCTCTCTGTAAAATGACGTGGAAGGTCTGTTCTAGCACCAAGAACCTCTGTCCCCAAAGCATCTGCTGGAGAGTGAGGCTAATTGTGAGGACGGAAAAACCACAGGCTTCTAAAACTATCTGCGCCCTCGTTGCCGAGTTACATCAGGTCTGTATTTCCACTTTCTATCCAGAAAATCACGCTAGGGAAAAGTTGCTGAATATCATGGTGATCCAGAGAAACCCAGCTAACCTTCAGCCCTGTCTCCCCTCTTGTTCTGCAGCACCTGATCTAGAGGCACCAGGGCAGTGAGAATGGGGGTGCTGCCAACAAGCTCACCTCGGCAAGGCAGAGATCCCTGTCTCCCAGAGCATCTGCCTTCATCAGTGAATGTACTTGGGCAGCTCTTTAATAAAGGACAGGTCCTGGATGCTCTCCTAAGATGGACCCTGTCCTCGGGGGCGGGGGGAGGGGGGTAGCACGTTCACTCCTCTGGAAATCCCCCATCTGTGCCTGGGACTTGTGGAGTCTGGACCTCACCAGAGAGGTGAGCCCACCCTGAAGTCTCACTTCCAAAACAGTCTTGTCAGATCCTACAGAATTTTCCACGGATGTCCTCACTGCCCTCAAAGCCACAGGATTCTGGGACAGGAGAGCTAGACAAGGCCTCAGAGCTGAGCACCTCTTCTGACCCTACCCACGGCAACCCCAGTAGCTACTGAGGAGACAGTGGGGCCAGGGTAGGAGGTGCCACCCAAGGTGACACCGCTGAGAAGGAGTGGAGCGTGGGCCAGTGGCCAGGTCTCCTACTCCTGCACAGGACACTTCCAACAGCAACCTTCACCTCCCTGTCCCCTGCCATGCCCTGGCCCTCACCCGTACGCACCTGACCATCCTGCTCCTCGGGCTCCCCCGATGTGGAGCCGCTGGTGTGGATGCTCCCGTTGGGCTCCTTGGTCTCAATGAGGGTGGGGGAGCTGGGCTTGGAGGAAGCTGGCGCTCCGTTTCGCAGGGCCTGCAGCGGGAAGAAGTGGCCATCAGAGACACCAGACACAGTCTGCCCACCTGCCCCAGCAGAGCTGGTTGGTCTACTGTTGGTCTGAAATCTTGCCACAAAAGTTTAGAAGCCTGTAGGCTAAGAAATGTCACTCCCTGACTCCTCCTCTAGAACGTTAATTTTAAAATGCTGTACACTCCTGGTATCTATTTCTACTACTAGAATTTTTCTAAGCGGAGAAAGACCCTCTTGTTCCAACCCCTGTTTCTAAAATAGTAACTCAACACAGTGATCCACAGAGGTCCTTTTTGGTTGTAGAACCCGTCAAATGCCTTCCAAAAGTCTGACTAAATCCCACAAGCCCGTTTCCCCAGTGATGAGTCCTTTTCCTTGACAGAATAAGTCAAACACTGTAACACAGTCCGCTCATTTCACGAGTATTTGCTGAGTCTCTAAATTTCTGGGGATACGTGAAACATCCTGTGTGAGCTCACATTCTAGTGAGGAAAGGTGGACAGCAGGAAGACAAGTCAGTCCAATTAGTACAGTATGTAAGAAGGGGGTAAGTGCTCTGGAGAGAGGTAAAGCAGGCAAGGGGCACGGGGATCGCTGGGGAGCGAGACGGTAACGAGGTCAGGGGAGGTGTCACCATGAGGATGACATTTCAGTGACGACCTGAAGGAGTGAATCCTGCAGCTCTCAGGGGATGCCCGCCCCCCCACCCCCCGGGAAGAGAGAGAAGCTGGTGCAAAGGCCCTGCAGCAGGCGTGCGCCCAGAGCACTAGCCGGGAGGCCCGTGCCACCCCCAGGGCAGTGAGTGAGAGCAGAGCGAGGGCCTGGCTGTACCCGGCCTTCCCTCCGAGGCAGAGCCCAAGGCAGTGACGGGACGTCCCCTGGCGCTTCAGCGGGAGCACCGCCTGCTGTGGAGAAGGGACGGCGGGCCCGGTCAGCGGCAGGATCACGGGCTGGAGACCCGTGATCCGGCCGCGTGGCCCGGCCGGGTGGCGGCTGCAAAGGTGTGGGGCGGGGGAGTCCGAGCCCTCCCTCGCAGGAGGGTCCACGGAACTGGCTTGTGGCCGGTAAAGAGAGGGGTCAAGCCTGTGTTCGGTGTTTGGTCTGAGCTGCTGAAAGAACGAAGCCGCCACCGAGGAGATGGGAGGACAGAGGGCTGAGCAGGCCCCGGGCCAGGGACCAGAGACCGGGGACTGAGCTGCCCGTGCTGATGCAGGGGGGAGTGCAGGCGAGCCGGCTGGGCCCGAGGTGGAGACCCGGAGTCATCAGAGGAGGCATCTGAGACCAGCCTGGCTGAGCCTCACAACAGGGCAGGGTGGGCAGGGAGAGGTCTGGAAGCTTTTTGGCACGCGGGAAGGACTCATTGTGAGGACGGTCCTCACTCTCCTCCCTGTCCGTCGCTTTATCTCACAGAACCACAGTGACAGATTTCCGCAAGTGGAACTGCGTTCGCTCCCGTGACTTCCCAAGGAGCACCCCTCACCACCTTCCTTCCTTCTTCCCACTGTCCCCCGACGTGTCCCCCCCCCATATAGTCTGCGCATTACTGCCTCCGACCCCGTGGTGGCCAAGCAGGTGAACGTCGCCTTATCTGCCCACGTCTGAGGTGGAGACTTCCGGAACAGTCGCTCGGCTGGCCACACGAGCCACGGCGGCTGTGACGCGTGGTTCACCGGCCCACACACCCTGGCCCTGAACACGGGGGCACGAGCTACCGCAGCTAAATGTTCAAGTTCCCCGAGATGTTGAACGATGACTCAAGCACAACAGCTTCATAAAGCCCGCTCTGCCTCAGTGGCCTCATCTGCACCCTCGGAGGGGTGTCCGGTGTGGTGAACAAAGCCTGACCCAAAGTACATACCATGCAAGGGTTGTTGAAACGAGCAAAATAAAATACATTAGAACAAAGGAGAACGAGCGTGGTCCCACAGACCTATCTGACTGCTATTTGTGACTTCAAGGTGGTCCCTGGTAAAACCCAACTTGTAGGTGATATTTGAAAGGAATAGCATTTCTCGATTAAAAATTTTATATGCCAGGGCGCCTGGGTGGCTCAGTTGGTTAAGCGACTGCCTTCGGCTCAGGTCATGATCCTGGAGTCCCAGGATCGAGTCCCGCATCAGGCTCCCTGCTCAGCAGGGAGTCTGCTTTTCCCTCTGACCCTCCCCCCTCTCATGTGCTCTCTCTCTCTCTCTCTCAAATAAAATCTTTAAAAAATTTTTTATATGCCAGAAATTATAAATTTCCTAACTATAAAAGTGGCTCATTTCTAGATTATTGTCAGTTACGGTCTTGTAGAACAGCTTAGAAGACACGTTTTTAATTTGGTCTAGGGACTATATTAAAGTTCTGCATGTAGCACTCTTAAAAATATGAAGGACTCGTCAAGTCTTATTTCATGAGGCTCTACTTTCTACCCTGACAGTTCCTAATATTCTGAAAGACAGCTTCTTACTTTTCTGAGTTCTTTGGAGCATTTAATTGCAGCTCAGACTTTATATGCAGCACAAAATACCCTGAACTGTCCTTTAACACTGGTGCCGAGGAGGATTTTAAGTTACTCGGGAGTGAGGTGGTGTCCTATCCACCTGTGCGTCCCTCCCGGTGCTGAGTTTGTGTGAGCTGCACATGGGAGGGACCCACACACACTTGGGATGCACCGTGGCCGGCAGGCCGGGAGCACGGGCCCTGCTCTGCCACCTACTAGATCTGCAATGCGCGTGCAAAGTTCTGGGTCTGTTTCCTCCTCTGCAAAGTGGGTATGACAACAGCCCCCTTCTCGCAGGGTTGTCTTGAGGAGCAAGTGAAATAATGGACACACAGAAGCACTCCCTGAATAGTGGTTGCGATTAGAGCTAATGAACGAACCTTCTGTCTGTCTGATTCGGGGTCATCACATAACGCTTGCGGGAGGGGAGAAGGTGTGTAGTTCTCTTTTAAAACTTCCCCAGAGGTCACGTCTTCAGCCACAGCCCCTGAAGCTTCCCCAGACCAGCTCACACTCTGCTTTTGCCCTTAGGAGGCAAAGCCCCAGCCGTGGGACGGCCTCAGCCCAGACGCCATCGCCGAGAGCGCCAAACCCCTTAGTCATTACACTCTCACGACCGGTGCGACTGGTGCGCTCGTAAGTACAAAGTCACAAAGAGTGAAACAATTCCCCGGTTCAGCCGAGGAGGACGGAGGGCTCCATTGCGGCAGCGGCCCCTGGTGGCTCCGAGCCAGACGGCCCGTCAGGAGGCCGGCGGAAGGCGGGAGAAGCTGGGGCAGTGGCTCAGGGCTCCGGGTCTGATGAGAGGCAGGGAAGCGGCACAGAGACGAGCCCAGGGCAGGCCGGCTTCACTGCTTCCGGCCTGTTCTTTCTTCATCTCGCAGCCAGCAAACCTTCCCGGCCTCGGTTCCCCTCCTAGTGACCAAGCCACCCCCCAGTGCCTGCCCCCAGCCTCCTCGGCCTCCGCGCGGCTCTGGGAAGCCTCTCCCTGGGTGCGCCCCCCCCCGCCCCCGCCCGTCTCTCCCAGGGCTCCGACCGCTTCCCCCTGCCACGTGGGGGAGCCCTGCCCCCGCCAGCGGCCGTCCCCGGGGCGGGGGGGCCCTCCCTTCTGGCCGCCGGGGCCTGCTCCCCGCCCCCCACGCCCCGCCCTGATGCCCCCCACAGCCCTGGCCGCTCTTCCACCGGCTCGGCCTCTCGAATCTGCCTTCCCGTGCCCTGTCCAGGCCAGGCGGCGGGGGGCCGGGGGGACTCACCGGGCTGCCGAGGCCGTGCTGCGTGGCTGTTTTCTTCACCTCTGGCTTGGACGCGATGATGAGGTAGGTCTCGATGCCCTTCTCGTCCAGGTACTCACAGCGGCTGCCCCCGTCGCCCGGCTCCACGTCGAATTCGCCCTTCAGGCAGTCCAGGGTGCTCTGGGAGATGTGCACACGCCTGCATGGCAGCGAGAACCCCGGGCGCGGGGCCCGTCAGGCCGCCAGACGCCGGGGAGGCCACCCACGCCTCTGAGCCTTGGCGCTACATCCACGAGGCAGGAAGGCACCGTCCCCAGGCCGCCCAGAGCACGGAGGGAGGTGAGGACTCCGGAAGGCCGCCCTGAACCCTGTCGTGACGTCCTACCGCGGCGAACCTTGCGGGTTCCTAGTTGCAACACCTGTCGTCAGGGGGTAATAAGCCTGTTTCTGGGGAGTCACCGTGGAGGGAGAGGATCGTGACTGCCTGCGAGGGCCGCCCCCTGAGCCAGGCAGGGAATGTGTGGCCGCGTCCTCAGCCCGTCCGCCCTGACTAGCTGAGTCTGTGACAGAGCTCCAGCCGGGCGTGCAGGTGCCTCGGAGCCTGCTCCTCCAGCTCGGCGCCCTCGGGGGGACCCGGCCTACCCAAGTAGCCCCCCGCACAGTACCAGTATGCCGGCATCTGTGGCCCCACAAGCGGGCGGAGGGGCGAGAGGGCACCTGCCGCAGAGGCCACAGCCGGGCTCAGGCCAGGAGGCAGGCGCCCCAAGGAGGAACGCTGCTCCGGGGTGTCTCTCGTCTGAGCCACAGCCCCGAGGGGCATACGGCCCCCTCCCTCGGCCCCTGCACCTCCCCGCTGGGAAGGAACGCTGGCTCACCCGGGGATGCCACCGGCCTCCATCTTGTTGGCCACAGTGACGTCGGTAGACCACACGTCGTACTGCCAGCGCTTCTGGCCCAGGACGCCCCCCAGCACGGTGCCCGTGTGCACCCCCACACGCATGTCCACCCCAGTCTTCGTCTTCTCCCGCACGTACCTGCCAGGCACACACGGAGAGGAGGGCTCGGGCATGGCCGCAGCAAGGCGGCCAGCCCTCGGTGCCCCGTGGACAAGCTCTGCACGGGCTTTCTTCCCCTCAGGCCGAGGGGACTCCCGGGCAGCCCACAGCTCTCTGCCTGCACTTGAGCTGAGTAACCTGTGGCTAGGGGTCCAGCGGGCCGACAGAGGGAAGGCTGCTACTTCCCCGCGTCCACCTGCGCCGGGCACCGTGCCAGGGCTCACGTGCAGCCGGGAAAGCCGCCCCGTGGTGAGGGAAGTGGAGGCGAGTGATCCTGAGCTACCCCCTCCCCCCACCCAGTGCGGCATCTGTTTCTAGGCCAATGTCAGAGGAGCTCTAACTCGAAGACGGTAACAATGCAAAATGGTCCTCTGGTGGCAAGGTGACCCCTCCTGGCCCCCACCCTGGCTGGGGGAGAAGCCTCAGCAAGGAGCCCTTTTCCCTCCTGGGGCCTGATCCAGCCAGGGCCTGCCTGGTAGGGCCTCCAAGGCGCGGCGGGGAGTGTGAGGGCGAGAGTGCAATGTCCTCACAGCTCGCAGCGGTGGAGGCTGGGAGCCCAGAGCAGAGGCCAGGATTCCAGTCCCACATGGCCGCACACGGACTTGCTGACCGGAGATGGGCCTGGAGGCTCACAGTGAGAAAACACTGAGAGATGGGGGACCTGGGGGGGAATCCAAACGAATGTGAGGAGCTGTGACAGACTTCACCACGACGGCCACTTCTCCAGAAAACCACAGCGGATGGAGGCTGGGCCCCTCGGAGGCCGTGGAAGGCTGGCAGCCCCTCAGCCGTAAGGAAGACGAGCCATGTCCCCCACTTCCCCAAACCGGGGACTGGGCCGCCTGCCGACCAACGCAACACCCACGGGACGTGGGGGCCTGGGGTGCGCTGGGCCCCCACGACCGAGCACGGAAGGCCTGCCTCTCCCGTGGTCCACCGCCCCTCCCCCCGGGGCCCCCCACTCACGAGATGGCCTCCACCATGGCGAGCCCCATGAGGATGGAGCAGACGGCGTGGTCCTCCCGGTAGTCGGGCAGGCCGCAGATGCAGTAGTAACAGTCGCCCAGGATCTTAATCCGCAGCTGGTGGTATTTCTGAAAGCACAGGGTGTGGGGGGTGGCTCTGAGTCCCTCCTGGACACGGTGGGAGGAAACCGGGCGAACCGGGTCGGGGGGGCCAGGCCCACGCCCCGAGGGTGGCCCCCGAGCCCGAAAGCCCGGCGAGGCCCGGGCACTCACGGCGGCCAGCTTGTCGAAGCGGGCAAAGAGCTCGTTGAGCAGCTTCACGAGCTCCTGGGCACTGCAGGCAGAAGACAGCTGGGTGAAGCCCACGATGTCAGCAAAGAGGATGCTGCAAGAGGGGGGGGACAGCGGCCGTGAGGCTCCAGACAGCGTGCCTGGCTCCCCCACCGGCTCCCGCTCCCCACCATGGGCAGCCAGGACCCCGGCGCAGTGGGCCCTTGCTCAGGCCCCAAAGCAGCAAGAGCCTGGCACTTCCCGGGTGAATTCGGGGCTCTGATGTTTAGCTTATCCTTGTGGGCCCCTCCTCCACGGGGCCTCCTTCCCCCACGCTGCCCGCTCCTGGCCCCAGGATGAACCCACCCCTCCTGGAAGGAGCACGGCTGTGAGCCCCGGTGCTGGCCCCGAATGGCTGGGTGACCTCCCGGATGTCACCTCCCCACCCTGGGTGATGTCTGTATGATGCTGGGGCCGGACCACACAGCTGAGATGTCTCAGCCCCAACATGGGCCGGCAACATTGCTCCCGCAGGGGCTGAGGCTCACATGGCGGGGAAGGCCCGGCTTCTAGTCCTGCGGGAAGACTCTGGAACCCCACAGGGCACGGCCGACCCCACACAGTCCGGCCCCGTCCTCTCTCGGAGCCCGGGCCCGGCGCACCTGACGTTCTCGTGCCGATACATGTACATGGTGTTGAACTGCTGCTGGTCCTTCTGGCTCTCGTCCTTCTTCATGTCCTTCAGCATTTCGTCAGCCACGTGCTTGGGCAGGATGGAAAGCATAAGGTTCTCCTGGGAGGAGGAAGACAGGGTTAGTGGGGAGGCAGGGTCCGGCCTGTACCCTTCCAGGGGCGGGTTCAGATACCTGCGGCGGCAGACGTCAGCCAGAGCCCTTCCTGCGCAGCCCCCAGGTGGGGAAGCGGCCAGAGGCCCAGGGCAGCAGCCTCCTGTGACGGAGCATCTTCAGGGCCCTGACGGGAGTCAGACACCCATGAAGAAACCCATGCTTGGTTCTGAACCTCCAGAGCACCCTCACGGCCACAGGGAAGGCAACAGTGCCTACGTGGGCCTGTTCTAGCCCCTGCACCGGGAGCCCCCCAGGGCAGGACCTTGTGTCATCCACCCCACCCTGCACAGACTAGTCATTCAAGAATCCTGATTCAACGTGACCGGAGACCTACGACGTGCCAGGCAGCACGCTGGGTACCAATGCCAGCAAAGGAGTGAGTCTCTGCCCTCAGAGGGCTGAGGGTCTCGTGGGGGGACAGGTGAGCATGCCTCCCGATGTGCAGTTTGGTAAGTGCCAAGACAAGCGAGGGAGAGCAGGGCAGTAAGAAAGAAGGGTGCCAGAATCAGCCAGGTGTGTTGGGGGCAAGCAGGAGGACTTCCTGGAAGTGAGGCTTGAAGACTGAGATGCTGAGAACATCTTGTCCGAGGGAGCCGCATACACAAGGCACAGAGACCTGAGGACCCCGGGTTCAGGGACCTGCAGCTCCAGAGGTAGGTTTGGATGGAGTGGGGGGGTCGGCACACCGCCACGTGCGGGCCAGTGCCGCCTGTCTGCTGCCACCCCCCACGCTCCCTTGTTTCCGTGTCCTCTGTGGCTGTCTTCTCCCTCCGAGAGCAGAGCCGAGTTGTGACACAGAACATACAGCCTGCAAAGCTGAAAAGGGCTCTTCTGGCCCTTTCCAGAAAACGTCTGCCGACCCCCGTTTTGCACCACGAAGGGCCTCGTGTGCCAGGCAAGGAACGGGGCACTCCTTCCGGAAAGCTGCAGGGCACAGGGGTGTGACACGGGAGGGCAGGGCGACCAGTTAGCAGCCATCCCCGCAGAGTGGGGCTTGGGGACCGCTTGCACCAAGCAGGCAGGACAGGTCCATGGCTTGGGCCTCTGGGTGGAAGGTGCCAGTCTGTGAAGTCAGGAACAGAAAGGCAGAGAGACGTGAGGGGACAGACGGGCTGGTTTGGGACGTGCTGCAGGCAGACGCTGAGCCGGCCTGGGGGGCTGGGAGATGGGGCAGGAGACAGCCCCTGGGAGGGGGTGACGCCAGACAGAGAAGCCTAGGCCGGGCACCGCATCAGCAAGAGTGCACGGCCCTGCGCCCGAGATGGGAAGCAGGTGGTGATGGGTCTGAAGGATGGTGGGGGGCTCAAGCTGAGGTTTGCGGGGGTATGGGAAGTGTGGCCAAGGGGAGGCTGAGGCCTGTGGGGAGAGGCAGCAAAGCTGAGGTCGGCCTGGGAGAAGTGGGGGTAGGGGGCGGGTAAGAGGCGGGGACAGAGAGGCACGGCTGGGTCTGCCCCCCGTGGAGTGGGTTCTGAGGGGCCAGGCCACATGCTGCGGAGCTTGGCTCACAGACAAGGAGGAGTACGGCGGGAGGGGCAGGGGCGTCCGGCAGTACTGTGTCTAGCCTGCCAGCTACAGGAGCCACCTGGGTGCAGGGGTGGCCAGGAAACCAAGAGCGGCTGCCTGTGTCCCCTGCGTCTGGGGCCAGTCCAGAGAAACAGAGGCTATGGGTCCCAGGCCTCGGCAGGGACGCCAGCCTGGTGGGAACAGGAGCGGGGGACCTCTCCTCCCACCAAGGGTCTGGGAGGGTCGGGGGGCCCCCCTGGCTCTTGTTCTAGGCTGTGCTCAGTGGACCCTGAGGCCAGAGAACCCAGTTCTGTGTTTGAAACACACCTTCTCTGGGGCAGGAGAACCAAGGTGTGGAGGTTCTGCTCCTCTCCTCTGGGTGAGACAGCAAGAGGCCCCCAAGGGCCCGGGCCCATGCCCCCCGGAAGCCAGAGGGCTGGGGCCTCCCTCACCAGCTCTGGAAGAAGACCGCTCTGCGGTAGGGGCAGCCCCTTCCCTTCTGCTCCCACGATGGTCTGCAGACCGGAGCCCCCACCTGCTCAGCCCTGTGCCATAGGAGGTCCCTCTCACCTAACCCGCCTTGTGGTCAGGCACAGGGTGACGACCCAGCGAGTGGCCCTCGGCCCAGCGTGCCTGGCACGGGCCCGAGCCTGGAGCACCACAGCGGTTACTACCATTCTCCCGTTTCCACAGTGATGTCGCTCCCACTGCTAACAACCCCACAAGGGGCACCATTGCAGAGGAATGAGGGGCCCAGGGCTTGTGCCTCTGTCCCCCCTGCCCGTGTGTGGTGACAGGCCTTCGGAGACCGAACTAAGCCCACGCACCGTGGAGCAAGCGCTCAGCTTGGGAAGGACAGGAGCCACTGGAGGGTTTTCCAGACAAGCCAGAGGCCTGGGGCCCTGCCAGCTCTCAGGGCAGCCTAGGCTGAGAGCTGCCGGAGTCCGGAGGGGACAAGGCGGCAAGTGCCGGGGCAGGAATAAGGCTGGCAGGGACGGGAGGGTGTGGCGTCAAGACCTTGGGCTCCGGGCCCCACGGCCTAGCTCAGACCCCTGCCCCGCCGGTGACTGGCTGTGTGATCCCGGGCAGCAGTTAGCCGTCGGGAAAGCAGGAGGACGAAGTGACTCCTCACCGTAGGGCACTAAGAACAGGCCTGCATACAGCAAGTGCTCAATATGCTGCAGCTGTTCTGTCACCTGAGGAGAAGTGCTACTGAGGGTGTGGGGACAGCAGGCGCCTCAGGAAGGGGAGGCCCCAAATCCTCTGGGCTTCAAAGGCCGGCCACAGGTTTATTGTAGGTTAAGAGCCCCAGTGGGGTATCCAGGGTGAGCAGCGAGTCCTTGGGGTCACACGACCAGGCCGAGGAACCCTGTCTGGTCCGGGCACAATGATGAAGGGGAGACAAAGACGGGTCCCGCCTTCCATGCATGTCTCAGCCTTGCTCTCTGTCTGTCCCTCCATCCCCTCCCTGACCCCGCCACGCGTGCATGCAGGTGCTCACCAAGGGCAGGAAGAGGTAGATGTGTGAGGAGTGGGGGAGGGCCCGCCGGCCTGGGGAAGAGGGCACTCAGGTGTGTGCACGGGCAGGGGTCGAGGGACACCAAGGATTAGGAAAGTCGCAATGACCTGTGCTGGGCTCCCAGCCAACCGGCCTATGCAGCCCCAGCAGCCAGCACCCACAGGGCCAGACCCCAGCTCACAGCCCCGCCCCCCCCAGAAGAGCCTCTCTGGGCTCCCTGGGAACCAATCCAGTCCTGCGAGTTGCTCCGTGCCCCTGACCACAGTCCTAATTTCCCTGAAACACAGCCAGGCCTCTACAGGGGTACAGGGCCACCCAGAGCAGCCGAGGGATGTGGCTTGGTCTCCCCAGCATAGAGGCAGAGCCCACTCTTCCTAAAATAGCAACTACTATATGTTTCGGGAGTCATAAGAATGTTCCGAGCCTCTGACCCCTTAATGGCTCTCCCGGGGATTTTTCCAACAAAAATAATCCACGAGAAGTAAAAAGACATACGTGCCAGAAGAACTTCAATGCAACATCACTCACGTTTGTGGAAAAGACTGGAAAGCCCAAATGCCCAGCAAGTGGCTCATTCGACTGGGACACATCCTTTGGATGAACCTCATAGAAACGATCATAATGACAAGTGCCGTGATGAGAACGTGACCAAAGAGAAAAAGAGCCAACACCGTATCCTGAGAAGGGGACGGCAGACCCACGCGTGCCCCTGAATTATGGCAGAAGACTATGTGCGAGAGAGAACAGGGTAATCTGACCTGGCGAATGGAATCCCGAGAAAACGGGTTATGTTTTTCAAAACTGCTATATGGTTATGCTGCTGCTTTTTTAAACGTACTTTTTGAACTGGAAATAAACACAAAACTTCCCTTGCTATGACCCTGGCCCTGGTAACGACCAGATTTCTTAGAAAGGGAAGGGCCCTGCCAGTCCGCCAGGCTCGCTCCGGACTCCCACGTCTGCCTGGATGAAAGCCGAGGAAGGAGACTGATGGCCAGGTCCGAAGCCAGGAGGGGACCCCCACCCCACAGCACAAGAGGGAGGTGGCAGGGGTCTTCTCCGGGAGCCGAGTGACAGAACCATCACCCTGGCCTGGTTTCTTTCTCTAGTTCTCAAGTATCACCACTCGCCAGGCAAACGGACACTACTGGCCAGTAGCAACACTGTCCCTCTTCTTTGCTAAAACTTCCTCACCTGCCCTGTATTTTCACGCATGTGTAATACGGCCTCCATTTTGCAGGCGACCAAACCAAAGCATGGATGGGGTAAGTGGTTTAGTTTATCCCAGGTTCCTCCGAGTTAGCAACAGATCCAGAACTAGAACCCAGGGCTCTTGGACTGAAAGTACAGGTGGGACTTTCTTGTTCACCAAAGAATGTGCTTCTGACACAACAATTCTCTCATCCACACAGGACGCTCTCCTGCTGCAATGTGAAGGAACATGAAGTGCCCAAATCTTCCCTAGGAAGGACCTGATGAGGCTGCTCTAGAAACCTCTGTGAGGACTCTCCCAGTGGGTGAACCCACCAGAACATCCTTTCTGTGCTGCCCCCAGTGCTTGTGGAGTTGAGCTGGGACATCCAGCTACTCCTGACGTGGGTCCTCCTTGCAGAAGCGGACCCAGCTGAGACCTCTGTGGCTGCCTCAGCAAGGTGGCCCAGCAGCAGACCAGACCACCTTTCAGCCTCAGGGAGGGCAGTCCAGGGCTGGTGGCAGATGCTGGCATTCCTTCTGACGGTTCAGCAGAGGACAGGAGAGAGGTGTTACTGAGGAAGACTGCTGGCTCTCTATGACAGACCCTGGGCAGGCCACAGTGACCTCCCTCAGCCGCCATACCCCCTCCTCACAGGCTGAGGGGAGGAGAAAGGGGCCAATGCTGTGAGGCCCGGTCTCAGTGACTGGCAGTGGACCCTGAGTAACCAA